AAAAAAAAAAAAAAAAAAAAAAAAAAAAAAAAAAAAAAAAAAAAAAAAAAAAAAAAAAAAAAAAAAAATCTAATTAAACATAACCTTTGTGGTTTGAGTTTGTCACGGTCATTTGAACATCTTTACTCGTTCAAATACTAAGGTGATTAGGTGAGTAGTCTGGATGACTGAGTTCTCGAGTCATTTGAATATCTCTGTTTAAAATTTAATTTTATTCTAAGTTTTTTAAAAAAATATTATAAAGAATGCAACTTTGTTGGCTAGAAATGCCTTAAAAGCACAAAAAAGTTGACATTATTTATTGAAACCACTCATTAATTAAAAGGTAACATTATTTATGATATAATGTTATAGTAATTCATTTATAAATGAACTATACTCAATAATTAGTTGTCCCTATTAGTTTTATTAACAATGGTAATTGAAAGTGAAGGAATTGGAATCCTAAGTTCTTTAATTACCTATGCTAAAATAAAAAAATAAAAGAAGCAAGAAATAGCCTATAAAATTCTAAATAAATATAAACCCTAATATTATTACTAAATAAGTATTAAAAAAAGAATGGAACTGGTTCAAAAAAAAAAAATCCTATGACCCAACTTGTACCATTTGAGTTGAATTATGAACCTATTGGATTTGGTTCTATACAAATGAATAAAAAGTTTACGAGTGGTTTAGATTAGGTAAAAGAATTTACGAGCCATGTCTAAAAAATGTCCAAACTCGACCCGACCCAACCTACAAACACGGATGGTAATTAGCAGTAGCTATATTGTTTTTGTTTGGATGGCATGAAAGTTTAGGCATTGGGTTGAAATAATTATAAATAGGTAGAGTGACACGGATCAATTTAGCCTGTTAATTCAATCACATGAATGTCACATCAAGCCAGCAAACCACATCAAATTTTATTTTGAGCTTTTATATTGGATGTTGAGAGTGGAAATGGTTTCAAACAAAATGGCAATTTTGAATCTAAATTTTAGGAGATACTGGAATTCAACTTATCTTCATATAAAAGGAGAAGGGAAGGACGGGCAGAGCCTTACAGAATGAGTTCAAATAGGACTAAAGCAACCGTCCTAATACAAGTTATTAGATACCATAGCAATCCGATCATGAAATCAATTCAGAAATTTGAGAAATCAAGGTTGCTAATATTGAAAATTTACGACCAAGTTCAAATGAAAAAGAAATACAATCAAACTTCAAACTAGTTCAATGGGGTTAAGGCATGTATTTATTTATTTATTAAGGTTTGAGTTTAAATCTGTACCTCACATTTATTGTATTAACAAAAACCAAAGGGAAGAAAAAATCATTTCCTTACTAATAGTTCTCCATTAAAAGTAATTAGACAGGAAAACTTACCAATATGGAAATCTGGAGCGCTTGCCTTCAGCTTTTCCTTCTTTTGTGCAGTTTCCATTGCTTCAATATATGAGCTGCTCCTTCCTTTAATGTTGCTTTTCTTCCCTCTTTGAAGTTCCACAGCTCCAAAACTGTATATCTACCACTTGGGTTATATTCGTTCATTTCCATCAAGGCTGTAACAACGGCCTTGTAAACTTCATCTCCATACTCATTCCTCAAATTCTTTAACATCTCATCATTTTCATCAATAATTTCCTGGACAAACATCCATGGTTGTTTGAGAATCATAACATGAAACAAAGGCAAATCCACTCCTTTCACTTCAAAATATGTCCCCTACTAAAACCCAATATCAGTAAAACAGGACAATTTCTTTGACATGTGTCCAAAATGCAAAAACAACATTAGTCATACACGGTCTCATTAAATAGATTTTCCAATATCAGAATAAACTGAAGGGAAAAGTTATAAGGTGGGAAACTGTTATCGAACAAAGATAAAAATTGTTATTGTGAGATCTCACATCGGTTGGAGAAGGGAACAAACTATTCTTTACAAGGGTGTGAAAAACTCTCTCTAGTAGACATGTTTTAAAAACCTTGACAAGAAGGCCGAAAGGAGAAAGCCCAAAGAGAATAATATCTGCTAGTAGTGGGCTAGGGCTGTTACAAATGGTATCAGAGCCATACATCGGACGGTATGCCTGCGAGGACGCTGGGCCATGAAGGGAGGTGGATTGTGAGATCCCACGTCGGTTAAAAACCTCTCTCTAACCGACGCGTTTTAAAAATCTTAAAGGAAATCCCGAAAAAAAAATGTCAAAAAAGAACACTATTGAATGTTTCATTTTCAAATTCCATCCCATCCCATTTGAATATATGTCGACGGGTGACTGACCCTCTTAAAACCCAATGATCAGAACACGCCCATAAGGAAAAACCACAACAGGGATAAACGCAAACGTTTAAATGCATACCTTAGCTTGTCCTCCATCGTCCTCTATAATCCTGAAGGGATGCCAGCTAGGGTCACGAAGCTTGTCCTCCCATTCTGAGCACAACTCTACTGCTTTCTCATCTGCTTCTTCCTTGGCATACTTCAACTTTATGGCTGTGCAGAATGGTTTGCTGTCAAGATCCCCCATTCTCTTGACACCAATAAAGGCTCTGGTCGACGAACCGCCATACACCTGTGAGTGAAGGAATTAAATTACAAGGGATGAAGGCATTATCCAAAAGTCAGCTTCGATATTGCCAATGCAATTAGACCTTTTTAAAGTCAATGTATTTCACTAGGAACAAATAAGAGATGAATAGGAAAATTCAAAATTTCAGGTAAATACATGAATCAATTCTTTGCGCGCATCTTGAACTTCATCATTGGTTCTACGCTCTTTGATGATGAGATTTTGATTGATGTTTTGAAAGTATTCAAATTCTTCTTCCTTCTCATTCAAATCTTGTTGAATCTGGTCCATTTTTTTCTTGGTATCATCATCTCCATCCTCACCCATATGTTTCATTACTTCTAACGAACCCTTCAGCCTCTCAATTTCCAACTCTAATGCTTGTCTTGCATCAAGCTTCTGTTCCAGCTCTATGATCTTTTTGTGAAGCTTTTCCTTCTCTTTCTGCAATAAGAGGTAAAATTATAAACACCCAATTCATCACAAATTAATCTAAATTACCACACAAGAAAGCATGTTATTTATATCTAAGAGTGTTCCAGCACGCTTAGGCCTCTACCGATCTCACAAAATAACCAACCAACCATATAACATTTGGTAAAAAACAATAAAAACAATAAAAACAAAAAACAAAAATTTAAATCTGAAGATTTTTCTCTTTAGCAATATTAATATTTTACCAACTGAAACCAAATAAGAAAGAACCTAAATCTTATATGGAAAGCTTCAAAACATATGAAATGAGCAGAACCAATCCAGGCTAGCCAGATTCAGCATGCGAAAAAACAAAATTTGCACGAAAAGTAGCTACTGAGATCCTTGAACCAAATTGTTCTTCCAATTGAAGATTTTCAAACCTGAATGAAACTAAAGAGATAAGGAGGTTGAGAAGGGTCTAAATCATTGTATATACACGCACATGTATCTTCTTAAAATATGAAAATCCAAGTTATATGCTGAAGAATAAGTATAGAACTAACAGGCAATAATGATTACAAAAAATACAACGAACTTGAATAACATTTACTTGGGAAAAAGAATCAAAACAAAATAGATGAATATGCACAACCATAGCCATGATGGAGGCAAAGAAAGACCATAAGAAATAATAAATATGATGCACACTTGTTGTTCCCCTGCTAGAAGCAAGACTTCATCTTCTGCCTTCTTTTGCTCCAAAGTGGCCCTTTCATTCTGACAATAAAAAAAGGTCACATTAGAAAATTAAAACCTTTTTTCCCCCGTCAAGAAGACATATTCTTTAGACTCTCAACAGGTGTATCTAGTCTGCAAAGGGATCAATTACTAGAGACGTAATTTAAATACTCCAAAATGAGGAAAACACAAAAGAGGATACACTGTGCTTTCTTCAAGATAGGGTACTTGGTAGAAACTTATACAGCTAGAAGGCTGATGTAGCGCAATATGGAAAGCGAGCAATATTGGATTCAAGTCTGTTAAATTAAAAATTATAAAATGGTAGCAGGTCTTCAAACATCAAGCAAAATTTCAAATTTACGGCCTGTTCTTATGAGTTCATGTTGTAGATTCTCCTACAAGAAACACATCTTTGAAGGGTAAAAGCTCTAGAACTCGAGGACGCCAAAAATAATAATTTAAAAACTTCTCGAGATGAAACAAGGCAGAAGTATAAGTACCATTTTCTTCTCCTGATACAACTTTCTTCTCTCATTATCATTTTGAGCCTCACGATCAAGCAGTTGATGCTCACGTTGCTGAAGTTCCTTCTTCTGATCTTTTAATTGTAGTTTAACCTTTTCATGTTCCGAGACAATATGTTCTAAATGATCCCGTGCATCCTGCTGCATTCTTCTAATTTCTAGAGAGGTGAAATAAAGAGAAAGTAAGCTATGGAAAGATAGAATGACAAAGAAGCCAATCTTTGTGCGCATAATATGGAAAGATACTAAGAAAATGCAATCTTACTCTCATTGTAAATTTTAGCCGTCTCGTCCATCTGTTCCATCATATTATTTAAGGATGCATTAGTCTCTAGAACTTTGTGAGTGATCTCCTTAAGATGTAGATTTTTATTTTCCAGTGTATTGGTCAAGTTTGAGACAAGCCTTAATGCTTTACTGTTATCCTCAGCCTCTTTACCCGATACAGTTTTCAAGTCCCCATTCTTCCGCAGATAATCCCCAAATACGCTTTTTGAGTTGTAGTCATCATCCCTGGCCACCCAACCATGCAATTTCTTTCCCCGGTCTCTTGAAACATTATAGTCCTTCTTCCCCTGATGGTCAACTTCAAAGCTATTTTCAAACATTAAGGCATTTCTAAAACCATCCCAATCCTTGTTAAACTCTACAACTGCATATCCAGAATGACCAAAGCGGTTCCACAGAGGATGAACCTTCAAAGGGTTAAAACCTTGTCTCATAAATTCATCTCTAAGTTTGGAACCACTTTCCCCAACACGTCGTCCAGCATGTATCTCAGTTTGTATGTTTGCTACAATAGCCATCCAAGGCCAGACAAACAACTGATCACGATCATAACACTGCTCCTTGCGGATAGGTTGAGGTTGATCCTCTGAAAGAAAGGGGTTGCGAACTTTGAGTTGATCCTTCGGTTGAGGTTGATCACGATCATAATACTGCTCTTTGTGAACAGGTTGAGGTTGATCATGACTCTCCTCCTTGCGAACAGATTGAGGTCGATCACGATCGTAATGCTGCTCCTTGCGAACAGATTGAGGTCGATCACGATCATAATGCTGCTCCTTTTGGATAAGTTGAGGTTGATCCTCTGGAAGAAAGTGGTTCCGAACTTTGAGTTGACCCTTCAGTTGAGGTTGATCACGATCGTAATACTGCTCCTTGTGAACAGGTTGAGGTTGATCATGATCATAAACCTCCTCCTTGCGAACAAATTGAGGTCGATCACGATCGTAATGCTGCTCCTTGTGAACAAATTGAGGTCGATCACAATCGTAATGCTGCTCCTTGCGGACAGATTGAGGTCGATCACGATCATAATGCTGCTCCTTGTGTACAAGTTGAGGTTGATCCTTCGGCTGAGGTTGGCCACGATCATAATACTGCTCCTTGTGAACAGGTTGAGGTTGATCACGATCATAGCCCTCCTCCTTGTGAACAGATTGAGGTTGATCACGATCGTAATGCTGCTCCTTGCGGACAGATTGAGGTAGATCACAATCGTAATTCTGCTCCTTGCAGACAGATTGAGGTCGATCACAATCGTAATTCTGCTCCTTGCGGACAGATTGAGGTCGATCACGATCATAATGCTGCTCCTTGTGGACAAGTTGAGGTTGTTTGCGATCATAGCGTTTCTCCTTGCAGACAGTTTGAGGTCGATCACAATCATAACGCTGCTCCTTGCAGATAGCTTGAGATTGATCACGATCATAACACTGCTCTTTGTTGACAGGTTGAGGCTGACCACAGTCATCACGCTGCTCCTTGCGGACAGGCTGAGGTTGATCTTCAAGACAAAAATACTTATTCATATACCTCTCCAAAGCCAAGTGTTTTGCCCTTTCCTTTATGGTCCAGCTCTGTGAGCTTCTCCCTGCACCAGAAGCATGTCGGAGAAGCTCCTTAAATTGGAAGTCCTCCTTTCCACTCCTCCCATGGCAAAATGGACATCTATACATAGAACCAGAAGCTTTAATTCGTATGAGACCTTGCTTCAGATCCGCATAATAGAAGTCTTGATACTTCTTCAAACTATCAGTCTCAGATTCTTTTTTAGAGCCAACAGACATCTTGAACCTAGAAAATCACATAAGGTTAGTCTAGGTAACTGGTAAGCCACAATAATGGTAGTCAAATACTGTGAGCAAAAAAGATTGAGAACTCAAGAAGTTGCAAGATTAGATTTACAGGATAACCAAAAACTATAAGGAAACACGAGCTTAATTTCATCTGGTAAAATAACAATCAATTTGAAAGTAAACTAAAGTTACCAATTAGAAACCCATATCATGGGATGAGCGAATCCACATGAAAATGTAGGAGTTGACTTCTTAACTCCATGTTTTTTTTATACCAACTAGAGTTTGATCTAGCTTGTTACTTCTTTATTTGGTTGTCAAGAAAACTCTTAGGCATTAAATCCTAGGCAAGTGGCTTGAAATCATCCTTTTAAGCCCTTACCATTTACATTGGCCATAGGTCAACCTATGCTGGCTGACTTCTTAACTCAACTAACCTTGTGTCAAACACTTTTCTTAAGCCTCAAAAGAAAATGGAGGCTTTGAAGGTGCGAGACAACAAGTAAACAAATTCAAGTTCTCCATAGAAATACTTTATGTGATCCCACTCCAAATCACAACGAAAAATTATTTGGTTCCTTCAATTCATCTTGCAAAATTCATGTAATTGCAACTGCAGATAAAAGAAAGTGGCAGGATCCACACTTAATTTGGACTTGAAAATCTCTTTAAAACAGGAAAAAAAAAAAAATTACAAACATGTGGACATGGAAGATATTAAAACAAATACACGTCCCAAGTTCCATTCGCACACATTCGAACAGCAAAACAGAGAATCAACACTAACACAAGGCCATCAATGGATAGAGCAGAACGAAAAATCCACAATTCTATGCTCTTTAAGTCATATAAACACCAAGAATAAGAAAGAAACGACATGAACTCCGACCATCCTTCTATCACCCATTCACTAATATTCCAATCAACAACAACAGAACGACTACACAAAACAGAGAGGCGTCAAAGGATAAATAAGCTCTACAATCTACATTCAAATTGCAGCACGTAGATACTAAAACCACGCATGTCGTATTGTCATACCGGTGGAGCAAGAGACGCAGACAAAATGAGGAGAGGAGTCGACGGAAAGAGAACAATGATGGTAACCAGAGAATTTACGGCGATTCTCCGCTGGTTCAGATGGCTGAGGGAAGCACTGAGAAGGCCATAACTGAGGAAAATTTTGAAGAGGAGAGAGAGAAGAGAGACGGTTGGAGGAGGAGGGTTTTATTGTGAAGAAGGCATAAGGCTATCTGCAGACCATGGTCCCCTGACCTGTTACCCGCCCAGGCACGTGGTCAAACCGATATGACGTCACGTTTTTTTTTTAATTTCTTTCAACGTTTTCATAGTTATTTATTTATTTATTTCTATTTTCATTTTTGAATAATAATATCTTATATGTTTATATACTAAAATAATATTGAAAGTAATCGAAAATTTATCGATTGTTTTAGTTTATAAAACATATTCTCCTTCCGAGTAAAGATATAACGTCAAATACACCTAGCAGATATTGTCTTTTCACTTTTCCTTTCATTCTTACCCATAAATGTGGCCTGGTAACAATGTTTTGTTCTCTTCTACAACCGATGTGGATCTCACAGTCCATCCTGAGGGTATAGTGTCCTCGCTGTCCAATCGAGTTAAGGATCTCACAATCCACCCCTATGAGTACAGTGTAACAGTCGGCAATACGATTGTGTCCCGAGTAAGTCATCGAGGACGTTGACTAAGTTAAGTAGGGAGAATGTCACAACCATACCATGCAGAGAATAGATTGTGACCCTCATCATGACAAGCAAAGCGGCGTCTCTCAAGAGATGCCCATCCGACCACATGCGGGCCAATATAGAAGAGTTTCATGATGCGATCGAGGAGGACGATGCATCATCCAACACACTCCCACGCAAAGTGGGTAATGAAGACAAGTTGAGACATCATAATAGACATGAAGGGCAAAGATAGCCTTGTTGAAGGGCTAGGTAGGGCCGCTGGCCTTAACCTCAAAAGTCGGGGTTTCAGAAGGAATTTGGGCATGCGGTTCGGGAGTTAAGTTTGTCCATATGAAATATGAATGCTCGTCAAGTTTGATGTCAATCGGACACTAGACGGACAATGCACGACACAATATGACCATTCACTAAAATCATGTTTACGCTTGTAAGATTGAAAATAGCTCAAAATATTATAGGCTACCACGATGCTCTCCACCACACCTGGGTCCTGTGGCCTAAGTGAGCTACCCTGTGTCACATACGTGTGCACATTGATATTTAATATATTAGATATATTAAATAGGGGGAGAAAATAAATTTAATTTTAAATGTCAAATTAATATTTAATAAATAAAGAAAGTATATTTAATTTGAAGGGTTCAAATTAATATTTAATATACTAGGTTAAATATAAATGGAAAAAATATATTAATGTGAACGGTTCAAATTAATATTTAATATATTAGATATATTAAAAAGGAAAAATATATTTATGGTATTTGACACAACTAAATATTAAATTAATTAATGTATTTTGATACATTAAATAAAAATATATTTGAAATGTGAATGAGATTCAAATTAATTAAATATATAGTAGGATATTTTATAATATATAAATATGATTTATATAAGATATAATATCATAATATATTAAATATGTAAATATATTATTTGGCAAAGATTGTCGAAACTCGAGAGAATTCTATATACACCATAGAATCTTCCCAGAGAATTCTCGAAACTCTTTTCTCCAATTCTTTTGAGATTTTCTTTCAATAGGCTCTCATACCTTGTGTTCGAGTAATAGTAAGGAAGATTTTGGGTAATGTTGAAGAACTTTTGCATGGTTGAAATACTACGAGGAGTCTTGCAAGCTAGAGTTTCTACAAAGGTAGAGTTCTTACTCCTCTATTTATTGCTTTGTTTTAATTTTTAATAAAAATCAAAACGGTTCCCAATGCTTCCGCTATGTGGATGAAGAGTTCATTCCCTTCACGGACGACATGGGTGTGCCAGTATTGCACCCTAGCCCGCATGTTGAAGGTTGCTACATACACCCGCTATCCGGTACGGTATCCGTAAATGACTTGGCATGGGCACGGGAGGGCCAATGATTCAATAGAACCCGGATAGATGGATGTTTGGGAAGTCCCGATGAGATGAAAGACACGCAGACCCATTCTTGATGACATGACTGAGCAAGTTATGATGGGCGACGACATCCCGAGACTCTGGATGGCTTCAAGACATATGGACCCTGTCGATGGGGATCGAGATGGCAAGATGAGATGCGACGTTGCATTAAGAGACCTTGACCTGACTAGAGCCAAGGTTGAGCTGAATGACTTGGCCTAGTGTAGAGGCAAGTTGGATGTGTCGCAGACGATTGAACATGCACGCACAGGTGGTAAGTGTGGTTGAACAAGCTTGGATTTCACACAAGTGATGTTTGATTGGCGAAGACAAACCTCGCCTACGGTCCGACGAAGCCACAAGTCCAGGGCGAAAAATATATATGGGGCTTAATTCCCCTTAAGGCTAGTCGTGAGCATGTCAAGATCACGACACTGCATGGTAAAAAATGTAGGACCGTGACACCCAGCGTCTTCACTGGCACACCACTCGGTGTTTGGCTCTAATACCATTTGTAGTAGCTCTAGCCCATCACTAGGAGATATTGTCCAATTTAGGCTTTCCCTTTCGAACTTCCCCTCAAAGTTTTTAAAACGCGTTTGCTAAGGATAGGTTTTTCCACCCTTATAAGGAATGTTTCGTTCTCCTCTCCAACCAATACGGAACCTCACAAAGAAGAGAAGGAAAAGGTGCTGTCATCGAGATCCACTCAGAGAATCATTTGTACCATTTAACCCTTCGTTTTGTCAACAAAGAACTCATCTTTGACGATTTCACAATCTTTCTTTGTCGGGAGTAAAATTGTAACTCATGATAAAGATGAGAGAATAACAAACGGACTCAGTAACACAGATCTTACCAGACACAAATCTGAACAAAAATATGAAGAAAAACATTACAAAACTGAAGCACAATATAGCTATACCCATCACAGCAGCAATGTAATTATGCATTAGTGGAAATAAGAACACTATACAATCGCTCGAGGATGTATAAAACCTTGGATTCTTCCATCCTCCGTTTCCGATCACCTCGACGGGTTTTCGATATGCTTTCGGAGACCCGAACTTACGTAAAGAGAGGTGATGCTGATGGTCTAGGATAAGCAGTGACTTCCTTGTGTGCATTGCCCTTCTCTGTGTTTTGCTTGCAGCTCCTGGACCTTCTATTCCCAGTAGCTCCAGTTCCTTTGGAATCCTGGAGATCGTTCAACGTCGTAACAATTTCGTCCATACTCGGCCTGAACTTCGGTTCTGCAGATAGGCAACGTGATGCAAGAATTGCTACTCGAAAAGCTGATTCCATGGAGTAATTCCGTTCGATGCGAGTGTCAAGCAACCGATAGGTCTTGCGTTTATTAGCAAGGAACGGTTTTGCCCACTCGACCAAATTCTGTTCTCCCGGTGGTCGGTTTTTGTCGATTGCTCTTCGACCGGATAACATCTCCAATAAAACAACACCGAAACTATACAGATCACTCTTTGCACTAAGATGACCTAAACAGTGAGATGAAATAAGCGATCAACACAAGAGATCTAGAAATGATTCGTTCTCCTCTTTAGAACAAGCAATCAATAGCTGATTAATACCTGTGGCTAGATACTCGGGGGCTGCATATCCATACGTCCCCATAACTCGAGTCGAGACATGGCTTTTGCCGCCCGTAGGACCATCCTTGGCCAGCCCGAAATCAGAGAGCTTCGCATTATAGTTCTGTAACAACATCATAGAATAGACAGGTGAGATTCCACATATATGCTAGCGGTGAGCTTGAACTGTTACAAGACTCTTCAGAAAGACATCAAAAAACTGAAATTCTGCTACACTGTAACAACAACTCACCGTATCAAGGAGTATGTTCGATGTCTTGAAATCACGGTAGATCACTTTGTTTTCATCATTGTGAAGGAAAGCCAGTCCCTTCGCAGCACCGAGCGCGATTTTCAAACGAAGGCTCCAAGAAAGCGGTTGAAAATACAGCCCTCCTGAGAGAGTAAACGCTCTGCAATAATGAATAAAACAATCGAGCATCTTCGTTTAATCAATGAAGGCGACGAAGAACTTACGTTTAAACAAATGATTCTCCAAACTGCCTCGGGGAAGAAACTCATACACGAGCAACCGATGTTCATCTTCGAAACAATAGCCGATCAGCTTCACTAAATGCGGATGGCGGAGTTGTCCCAGAAAATTGACTTCAGCCTACAGAAATAAACAAACTAAAGCTTAAATGGATTGATTCATGATATAGCTTACAGCTTAGAAAAGAACATGAACTTACTAGCCACTCCTTGTGGCCTTGGTGGCCATCTACATTCAACCTTTTCACTGCCACAACCATGCCAGATCCTGGCTTGGCAGCTGAAAACGAATGTTCATCGATCCAGCCTTTAAAAACCGAGCCGAACCCGCCTTCCCCCAACAAGCTATCAGGGCGGAAATTCCTCGTGGCGAGTTTAAGTTCTGAAAAACTAAAGCTCTTTAGATTTGAGGACTGCAAAATTTCATCCTCACTCCGAGGAATTGATATTGATGAGAACTTGCTGTTGCTGCTTGAACTAGAGAGATCATTTGCTTCCCTGCTAACACCGTTTGAGTTTCCTCCTGCATAACTTAACCGTAAGATATCTATACCTGAGCTAAAACTACGTATAATTTCGTGTTATGAACTACGAACGTCTACAATGGTATGATATTGTCCACTTTGAGCATAAGCTCTCGTGACTTTGCTATTGGTTCTCCAAAAGGTCTCGTACCAATGGAGATGTATTCCTTATAAACCCATGATCAACCCCTTAATTAGGTGATGTACAACTCCCTCCCAACCATAATAAAGGGAATGATATTCATTCCAATGGCTTCAGAGCTCTACCTGTACTGCAGGTGCTAACAGCTTTGATTCTGGCGCTTAAGCAAACCCCCATGGAAACTGGCCCAAAATCTCACAGCCTGACCAGTTTATCACCAAATTCAGCGGCTTACAGAAAGAAATCCAAGCAATAAGTTGAGGAATCACAAGTTTAGAGAGATGGGTAGCGCTCAAAACGAGTAAAAACCCTCCACAA